GCTCAGAAGCGTAACCACTTGCAAAAGGAGTTTTAATTGTCTTATCTTATGGAAGCCACCAAGGCCAAAAAACAAAACAAAATTTAATGATGATGGAGGTAGGTGGAGAGGAGGGGAGGGAAAAGTGAGGTGAAAAAGGTGAAGGAGAAACCAAAAGCATCCTCCTACAGATTTCATCAGATAGCATAAATTCAGTCACTTCCCATTCCTAACCTAGTGGTCAGCCACAATGTGACCTACGACTAACCTGACCTCGATGAAATCAACATCTCCCATGGAAATGAAACAACAGGCATACTTGTTTTGATATATGGCAGGGTAACATATTATAAATATTACATCATATAACCACAGAGGATGTCAATCAATAAGATTTTTTTTCAGACAGCACTAAATGAACCATGGGCTCTTGCTTCTGAATAAGCTTCTTTAAAGCCTGTACTATTGCTTAAATGATTAATAGGGGACATATTGTCAGAAAATGTACTTAAAGTGAAAAACAATAAACTGTAGAGAGATCATTCATTTTTTAAGCAATTCTCAAGTGAAAATGTCACATAAATTTACATAGAGGCATCACAATTGGGCTCTGGGTAAAATCTGGGTGGCAGGCATATTTCCCACTTTAGGGGAGAAGGGCTGAGAAAGTAATTTTCAGAAACTTAAGGTCCTTTTCTCCAGCATAAACCCAAACTCCAGGGCTAAGCAGGTTTCAGAAATTAAATTTTGATATGCTAGAAACTTACACTGGGGCTAAGAAAGACTTAGTATTTTCTCAGATATTAGGAAGAGAGAAAGAAACTAGAAAAGTCCAACTCTGGTACTAGTTATTTAGAAGGCATCAGTGGGTAAACACACTGCCATCCTGATCCTCTCATCTCCCACCCCTGCTTTGCCCAGATCAATCAAATAAATTTATTAAATGCCTGCTATCTATATGTCATGGACTGTATTAATCACTAGGGATAAAAATAGAATGAATGAAACAACCCTTTTTGCAAAGACCTTCAAATGGGGGGGGGGGAGAAAACAGCAATAATATGTAAGCATATGTAGAATAAAATAAAGAGAATAAATACGAAGTAGTTAAACACAAGCTAGTCGGAAAGGGAGGGCACTAGCAACTAGAGCAGGGGGCATCAGGAAAGGGTTAATGTAGATGGTGATACTTTAGCTGTGTCTTGAATTAAAAAAAAAAAAAGGCATTCCATGAGGCAGAAGTAAAGAGGAAGTGCTTTCCGGGAATGGAGAATGGCCAATACAAAGTCATGGAGATGGAAATAGAGTGCTGTGCATGAGGAACAGATAAAAGTCTTGTTTTACTGGATCACAGAATGTGGGAGGGGGAATAATGTATAATGATCATGGAAAGATAGATTAGGCTAAGATTATTATGGATTTTAAAAGCTCAACAAGTCTATTGAGAAGGGGAGTGAGATAGTGAGAATTGCCCTGAAAGTGGATCACTTTAGGAGCTGTGTGGAGGGTGGACTGAAGTGAGGTGATACAAAGAACATTTGAAGAGAAATGCAGCATTCTCCTTATTCCCCTCTTTCCTCTTAAAATTCATTCTATTTCCTCGTCCTTTCTTCCACGCCAAAACATGCATATTCCTCCCCTTTTGAAAAGGTTTGAATCTTATTTTTGCAACTAGTAGTAATAACAGTAATCAGTAGTAATAATAACAACAACTTATTCTTGTTAATTATTACAAAACACATGATATAGATTATTTTATTTGAGCCTCAAAGACCACTCAGTTAAATAGATGCTATGATTATCATTATCCCCATTTTATAGATAAGGAAACTGGCTCATTGAATTTAAGTGACTTACCCATAGTTACACAGTTAGTAAATATCGAAGGATCCATTCAAAGCCTGACTCAAACACTCTCTCCTTGCTGCCTCTTTAAATAACCAGCCACATGACCTGAATGAAGCAAGTCACCTAACTTTTCCTGTGGCTTAGTTTCCTCACCTATAAAAGAAAGGATATTGTGTCCTGGGTTCTATTCCTGGTCAGCGAACCTCCAAATGTTTGATAAACCTAAAACCATAAACTTCTTGGAGGAAGGATTCTCTACTTGACAAGATGGCTGGGGAAATGAATTGGCATAAATTAGGTTTAGACCAGCTTCTTACACCATATATCACAATAAACTCCAAATGGAGTTATAATATGAATACAAAAAGTTATGTGATAATATGATAGAAGAGAATGAGAGTAAATACCTTTCACAACTGTGACTAAGAGGATAATTCTTGATTAAAGAATGATAAGGATAATAATAAAAGATAAGATAGACAATTTTCATCATATAATCATAATACTGAAAACCTTTTTGCATGAATTAAAGTAATGTAGACAGAATAAAAAGAGATGGCCCAATGACAAAAAGTATTTGGATCAAATATAATTGATAAAATTTGATTTCCAATATGTAGAAAATTCAGACAAATATTTAAGATCAAGAGGTAATAGATAATCTGATTCACATCAAAAGATAGGAATTGTTATTTTTTGAATTACAAACTATTAACATTCATATGAAAATATTCAAATCACTGATAATAAGGGGAATTAAAGTTAAAACAACTTTGATATTTTGCCTCACACCCTGTGAATTGAAAACAATGACAAAAACTGAAAATAGTGTTGGAAGAGTTGTAAAAAAGGCACCCTAACGCAATGCTGGTGGAGCTGTGAATTGGTTCAACTGTTCTGGATAACCATTTGGAATTACAAGAAAAGTGACTAAATGTTTCTTTCTGATTGCACTACTTGACATATATCTCAAAATCAAAGATGGAAAAAGAGAATGTACATATAAATACAAATAAATGATATATATATATATATCCATATATACACATGTGTATATACATGCACACATATATACATACACACATATATGGTGTATATATATATACATATATTCCATTGAAGCACTTTTTGTGGAAACAAGTAGAAGCCAAAAGAACAATGTGTGTGTGTGTGTGTGTGTGTGTGTGTGTGTGTGTGTGCACTTACACATGTAAATTCCATTAAAGTAATTTTTGCGGAAACAAGAAGTAGAAACAAAAAGAACAATCAGTACTTGGGAAGCGAGTGAACAAAATGTTGCATATGAATGTAATAAAATATTGTGTAGTAAAAATGATGAATATGAAAAATTCAGGGAAAATATGAAAACTTTTATAAATTGACACAAAATGAAATAAGCAGAAACAGAACAATTTATATCATGACTACATCAGCATAAATGAAAAAAAATCACTAAAAGGAAGTCTAACTGAATAACTGAAAAAGCAACAATAGTCCTGGGGGAAAAAAAAGGGAACATGACAGATACCTTCCTCTTAAGGATAGCTAGGTTGAAAGAGTAGTAGATAAAGCACAGGGCTGGGAGTCAGGAAGAGCAAATCTTTCCTTAGACACCTATTAGCTGTGTGGCCTTGAGCAAGTTCCTTAACTTCTATCTCCCTCATTTTCCTCATCTTCAAAATGGATATAATAATAGTACGTAGTGCTCTGAGGGTTGCTTTGAGGGTCAAACAAATTAACACATGCAAAACACTTTGCAAAGCTTAATGAAACATATAAATGCTAGTTATTATTATTACTATTATTATTATTTCTAGCAGAGAAGCAGGAGATTACTTGGGCAAAATGTTGTATCCATTATTAGACATGGTCAATATTTCCTTTGATTTTATTAACCATTTTTTCTTTATTATAAAAGAAGGTTCTGTTTCACTGGAGTCTGGTAGGATTTTGGCATCCAAGAACGATAGTCATATAAAAAAGCAAAAATCTTAAATAAAACTTGCAAAAAATTAAAATAAATATAAGCTGTTATAAAAGAGGACGATTAGACTAAATGATCTCTAAAACCCCTTCTAGCTCAAAGTCTCAATGAATCTGTTGAAGCTCATTTCAATCTTCTGTTTTACTTCTTTTGAGCCATCAAAACCACACTCTCACCCCCATTGCCTCCTTAGGTTGTTTTGTTTTGGGGGAACACCAGGAAGAAAGTATTTCAGTCATCCAATTGATTAATTTCAGAAAAAATCTATCTTTTATCTATAAGCTACTTGATTGGGAAAGGAAGGAGGCTTCAAGACAACTCAAGCAAACAATCTAATATTTATTGAATGTTCCTGGTGAACAAAAAAGGAAGGAGGAGGAGGAGGAGGAAGAGAAGAAGAAGAAAAGGAAGGAAGAAGCAGAAGTAGAAGAAAGAAGAAGAAAGATGAAAGAAGAAAGAAGAAGAAGAAGAAGAAGAAGAAGAAGAAGAAGAAGAAGAAGAAGAAGAAGAAGAAGGACAGTTGCCATCATCCCTGCCATAAGGTAGCCTCTATTCTATATGAGAAATTGTGACAAATGCATATGAAGCAATCAAAGAATAATACAAGGCATATATAATTAAATGCTAGATTCTGATACAGGCCAAAATTGCTATTGGAGTTCAGAGAAACTCACCTAAAACCACATCCCCCTCACCAAGAGCCTACAAAATTATTTAAAAATAAAAAAAAAAAGATCTGATGGAACTATGCAAAGGTCTACTGTGGGAGTAAGGGAACTCTTACCAATGCAAGTTTACACATCTTTGACTTTGTAAACAAGTCCAAGGGAGTGTCTTGAGGTAAGAGAGATTAAGGGATTTGTCCAATTTCACAGTGCTAGAAAAGGTCATTGCTGGGATTTGAACCATACTCTTCTTGATCTCAAGATAGTACATTCTACTACACCACAATGTCTATAAAAAAGGACTTATTATCAGGAAATTCCAATGGATTCCTATCTTCCGTAGCTTAATTCAATTTGAGGGAGTGAAGGCAATGGTTCTCATCTATGGCAGCCCTTTAGCCCACTGAGAATATTAATAATTTAACAGCAATTTACGAAATCACATGTGCAGTCCACAAGTCAATAGGAGCTCTGGAAAGACATTGTTTTTCTTGTCGTCTACCCCAGGGTCCCAAGAGCATTACCTGTATCTCTTATAGTCATCTTCATCCTTTTCCAAGTTCACCAGCTCATTGGGACAAGCCATATTGCCTAACAGGCTGAGATACTCCAGGGCAGGTGTTACTTCTGCCAAATGGTCCAGCAGCCCCTCCAGATCTGTGATGTGTCAAAGAATTAAGGATTGAGCCCAGGAAGGAAAAAGTCACAATTTGCTGTACCACCCTCAATTAACATACACAACAGGAAAGTGCCAGGATTCACCATGGAGATGTTAGGAAACTAGATAATCAGAGCTATAACCAGAATAAGATGAATGGAGATTTGTTTCAGGGTGCTATCATCTGCAGGGCATAATTTCTCCCTGTGGTTACTGCCATATCTGCTTCTCTCTCACACCAAAATATGGTACCACATCACCCAACCCCTACCTCCAGAGTCTTCTCTCACTGCTGTACCCCTCTTCTAGGCCAGGGAAAGGTAAGAATCGGCTTCTTTTCTCTTATCATGACAACATCCATGGTTGGACTGTCTTTTCTATCATTTCAACACCCACCCACCCAAACTATTCCTCAAGTAAAATAATTCTCTGTTTTTCAGGCTATTAGATATGCAATGAGATGCAGCTTCTTTAGTTCTGATGGTCTCCACAGGAGCTAAGAAATACCCATGGGAAGGGGTATATCACTGAAGTAAGTATATCACTGACGTAAGTCTCTCAACATACTGAGGATCAAAAATCAAATTATTTCAGAGATAGGATACATATTTTGAGGAGTAGCTAGGTGGCACAGTGGATAGAAAGCTGGGCTCAGGAAGACCTGAGTTCAAATGTGACCTCAGACACTTACTAGCTATGCGACCCTGGGCAAGTCACTTAACTCTGTTTGCCTCAGTTTCCTCATCTGTAAAATGAGCTGGAGGAGGAAATGGGAAATGACTCCAGTATCTTTGCCAATAAAACTCCAAATGGGGTCATGACTGAAATGACTGAATAACAAATGTATATTTCACTGTCTGTTTGTCCTTTCACAACATCACCTATATTCAGAGCCTAAGTGTGGGAAAAGGAAAATAAAATTGAATATTGAAATTTTCATAAGGTGACACCTTCATGAGGAAGAATGGCCCAAAAAATGATGGAAAAGAATGGAAGATATGATGTGTATCACCTGCCCATATCTCTTTATCCATGCCAGTTGGGATGACACCTTCATCATCTCCCATCTTAATCAATGCAACAGCCTCCCAATTAAACTCTGGGTTTCCAGTCTCTCTCTTCTCTGATTCATCCATCCATCCATCTATCCACCTGCAAAACCAATCTTCCTAAAGCACAAGTCATTTCCCTGCCTGTAGGATAAAATAAACTTTTCTTAGCTTGGTATTTAAAGCCTTGTGCCATCTGACTGCAGTCCACCTTTCAAGATTCATCTCCTATCTCTCCCCTCTACATGGTCTCTATGCCAGATACACTGGTCTCCTTACTGTTCTCTGACCTCAGTATTCTATTCTCTCCCTTTTTACCTAGAACTGTCTACTTCTCAATGCCTGGAATGCACTCCTTCCTCGCTTCCACCATTTAGGATCTGTAAATAAATTAAATTGTGTATTTTACTCCAGCATCATAATTCTTTCAAGGTTCAGCTGAGGCAGCACCCTCTATAGAAAGCCTTTCGTGATCCCTCTAGATTAGTGTTCTCTCCCCTCTCAATTTCCCCCATATTTTATTATATGTTTACATGTTATTTTACCCTGCAGGACATAAGCTGCTTGAAAATGGGGGCTTTTTAATTCATTTCTGTCTTTTTATCTCCAGAGATGTACACATCATAGGCTTTAATAAATGCCTGTTGAACCAAATTTAATTGATGATGTCAACAGGAGCAGATGTAGAGATTTAGGATGTGGCCTTTCAGAAAGCTGAGACTTGAAAAGTATGGATGAGATCACTGAGCTACAGAAACTGTTTAATAATTTTAAACAGAAGTTCAAACACCAGGCATACTTCAAGAATCCTATTAGCATTGTTGAGAAATGAAGTAAACAAATGAAGTGTTCTTTTTTTTCTTGGCCTGAAACACAGGCCCTGCATCTTTGCTCTTTTCTCTTACCACTCATGATTTCTATTCACTCGGCTATTTTAAAAGTAACAAACACCTATGGCCATGGCTGTTCACTCTTCTACCAACATCAGGTCTCAAAGTCCTCTCTCTCTTCAGGAAGTCCTCTCAAAGTCCTCCCTTGGGCAGAGTATATCTCCTTGATGAGTCCTTCAGCTGGGCTCATGGGATCTGTTCTTCATAGCTCACTTCTCAATTGCCAAGATGAGGTGTCTCTTGAATGTGTGAATGGCTCTTTTCTATGCTGCCAGGGGCTCCGCTCTTCAAAGCTGCTCCTAGGTTCAAGTGACTACTTCTATGTGTCTGTGACTGGAGAGTGGTTATCTTTATTCCTTCAAGTGTGCCTTGAACTCTCTCAAACTGACTTTCCCACTGTTAGAGTGTCTCACTCTGGGCAAGTAGATCTGTGGCTAGATGCCATGGCCAGTGGGGAAGGGGGGAATTCTCTCTTGGCTGCCTCTATCCCCAGAGATTCCTTCTCAAGGGCTAGGTTCTTTTTACTGTTGGCTCCCACCAGAACTGCCTTGAACTGTCTCCAGGCCCTTGCTACTTAAATCCTGCAAAGGCATAGCAATTTTTTGATTCTTCAATGGTATTATTCCATTTAACTCAATTAATCAATGAAAGTTGATGAGTGTTGATCCCTTGTTAACACTAACATCTCATCAGGGATAATTACATCCTGTGGTCATATTAGGCTAAAAGTTGGTTTAAATTACATTATATAACATTACTGGAAGGTTTCCATATGAAAATAATGACTGAGCTTGGGGACAGGTGATGACAAAATGTTATATGTGTGTGTGTGTGTGTGTGTATTATATATTATGTGTATATATATACATATATGTATATATGTATACCTATATAATGTGTATATATGTGTATATACATATTTCTATTCACATATATATATATATACATACAAGAGTGTGTGTTTTTATATATAGTATACGTCTTATGAAGGACATACTATTTATGATAGACCAGGTATATATACTCCCTTCACTAGTGCAGGATAGAATCTTTCCATGTCTTGGGGTGATAGAACCTGTGCATGTCCTCTCTGGCAAAGCTTTTGAGCTCCCAACCTTTCAGCCATGCTCCAGTGGGCATCAGGTTAGAACTTTGTATTCCCAGCACTTTGCACAGTAACTGGTACATAGTAAGCATTTGATAAATGATTACTGACTTGATTTAACTATTGATCATTAATAAATTAAATCGCATCTTTTACTCCAGCATCATAATTTCCTCCACACCAGGAAGATAGGAAAATGTATGCTATATATCGAGGGAGTAGATTTTAAAGGATGCGGAAAGGTACTTAACATCCTATTCACTACTTTTCTATAGAGAATGTCAGTCCAGGAGAAATGGATGGTATTGACAAAGAAATTCTGAAGATACAAAGAAAAACAATTTCAATGAGAAGGAAAATGGGAGATTGTCTAGAAACCAATATTGATATATAGAGAACTCACCAAACAACTTGAATTTTAAGAAGACACGTACAGAAAGTGGAAGCAAAGACAGGTTAGCATATTTATTTTTTTAAAGTGACATTGTTCTCTGTGAAGTGTCATGATTCTGAAGTTTAGAAAACTCAGACTGATGAAGAAAGCTAAGAACAATAAAATGACTTTTAGCTATATTGAGGAAAAGGGAAACATCAAAGAAAGGAGAGATCCACTGCTGGGTTGTGTGGAATATAACTAATGAAAGAGAGAGGCAATGCTACTCCTTTATTTTGCTTCTATTTTCTCTGCCAAGGACATAGTCTTTGGATGGCAAGAAGAAAAAAAAAAGTGGGTAATAGGACATTGATAGCCAAGATAAATAAGAAGATCAAAAAAGTGCAACTAGCTTTCCTTGATTTCAAGTGACTTAGCTAAAACAAACTACAACTAAAAAAGAAATGATAGATGTGATTTCTAAGCCACTCTTAATAATCTTTGAAAGATCATGAAGATTTATTTGCACCTTCTCTGTACCTTAATATCTGGTTTGTTGTTGTAAAAATGAGATGTGGTGCTGAGTATACATATATTCTTTAGTGGTCCCATCCAGAAAAAAACAAAAACAAAAACAAAAAACAAACATTCATCTTTTAGATCTAATTTCTCCAATTTTTTTTTCTTTTGTATTTCTTTTAGATCTAATACTGAGATAAGACCACTCAAATTTCCTAATATTGGTGTGTTACTATGTTTTTTGCAATTCAGTCACTTTTCCCTTCATTAATTTAGTTAATAAATGCCACTTCATGCATATTGGTTCATTGTCATTTCTTTGGTATTTTAACCGATGATTATGAATCTTTTTTTTTTGCTGTATTTGATAGCATGATTTAAACTACTGCTTTTTTTTGAAATTACATGGAGGATAATACTTTTCCAGTCTCTCATCTTGATTTTATGCAATTTTGTTCCTTTTAGATGTATTTCTTATAAACAAAGATTGCAGTGTTTTGCTTTCTTATCCAGTCTGCCACTCTCTTTTGTTTTATTGGATTGTTCAGTCTATTTACATTTAAAATTATTAGAATTAGGTTTATTTTAAACTTTCTCCCATTTCTTTCTCTAGTAGTGTTTTTATATATTATTTCTTCCCTTCCTCTTTTAAGTCAGTATTTTGTTCCTACAATTATTTTTCTTTAAAATACTTTATGCAACCCTATTCCCACAGGCTCTTTTCTCCTTCTCACCCATTTGTCAAGCTTTTCCCTAGTTTGTGGACTTTTTTTTAAAAAAGATATTGATTTGTTTTCCTTTTCTGTATTTATATGTCTATTTCTTCCCCTCTTTTCCCCATTCTCTTTCTCTCCTCTCAGTTAAGTGGCTAGTTCCAATTTCCTTCTCCTTTCTTCCTCCTCCAGCTCCTTTTGCTTATAATTTTTCTCCATCTTTTCCTAAGGACATATTTATTTTCTTTGTTCTGTTTTTTATTGTTTAACCTTTGTGTCTATTATGAAATTCTCTTCTTTCTCACTCTTCCTTCCCCTCCCTCTCCTTTCCCTACCTTGTTTCTCCTTTCCTACCTCCCTCACTCTCCCTTCAAAATAGTATACAGTATATTAGTTGGTGTGGGTAGTTCATCAAGACCCTTCTGATCAATTGATTCTTCCTCCACTCCAATCATAGAAAGTAAATGGCAGAGAATACTGACAGAGAGGTGTTAAGGTAACAAAGAGTTTCAAGGGTTTTAATAATATACTATATGCATATATATATACACACACATACACACACATACACACACACACACACACACATATATATATACATATACATATATATGGATTTTAATTTTTTGTTATCTCCTTTGGGAGGAGTAAAAAAGTTCTTGAAACAAACTTGATGGAATAGAAGAGCACTTTTCCATTGGTTGGCCAGATACTGTTCACTCCCATCATGACCCTGGAAAAGCAAGCTGCCAACCATGAAGTCAGCTGAGAACTCTGAGGAGCGTGACCCATGGCAGAAGAGAAGAGAGTTACTAGCAAGTCATGAACTCTTGAGAAGGGATCACTCTTTTGCCTTTTCCCTCAAGCTAATAATAAGATAATAATAAGTGGAGATAATAAATAAGTGGAGAGTAAGTAGAATTTCTTCCCACATCAGATATAGTACTTTATAGCCAGAGCTACCCACTCAATAAGAGACAGTACACCCCAGAAGAATTTCAGTGGAAATGAGCTGAGGCAAGGGGCAGCTTTTAAGAGTGTGAACCCTGGTAGCAGAGAAAAAAATCCAGCTATGGATTTGATAGAGAATTAGCCCTAGTGGCTGGGAATTACATTACAGAGAAGCAAAAGCCCAAAACATAATGACCTACTCAAAAGAAGCACTGAACCCATTGGGGAACAGTATGAGGACACCACGAAAAGAGAAAGGCTACGGGGGCCCTTTAGTAGCAGAAGAATCAGTTGCCGTAATCACATGTGTTCCCTATCTGTCTCTTACTACAAGTATATGTTGTGTATATGACTGTTCTTTACACTGATGCTATTGTAGAGTACGTTCCATGTTTATGAAGAAATGTATTATAGCTACTCTTTGTTTACCAGTAAAAGCCTTTGTGTTTAATTCATTGTGTCTACTAGCTGACTATTAAAGGCGAGTGCACCAATTGTAGTTTTAGGAGTGTGAACCCAAAGACTACCATGAACCTTAGGTAGTTTTGTTCTCAGGGTACCCAACCGTCAAATGCAAATTGAAGAGTTAGCCCTGGGAGACAAGCTAAAGAAGACACATGTTGACATATACATGTGTGCATCTATTTGGCATACTCCTAACATGAAAATCCCTTCCAACAATGCACATCAATAGCTTGGTGATAACTCGCAAACTTAGACAGTCGCTTTGGACACTGTGGGCTCATGTGACTTACCTGTGATCACACAGCTATTTTGGGTCAAAGATAAGACTTAAACCAAGGTAGTTCTGATTCCAAGGACAGCCTTCTACACATTGTGCCACACTGCTATCTATCCATCCATTAGATTGTGAGCTCCTTGAGGGCAGGTACTATCTTTTGCCTTTTTTTATACCCCCAGTGTTTAGCACAGTGCCTGGCACAAAGTAGGCACTTAATAAATGTTTACTGATTGATTGATCTATGCATCCTCTATCTTGTATTTGTGGACTTGATTTTTTGAATCCAGGTGCAAAGATTTACTTGCTTAATTTCCCTATAAGTTCACACAGGAAGGAAGATAGCAAATTGATGTGATATGGAAAAAATTTGTCACCACTATGACGACAATCTATTCTCATCATTAATGACAATGCAACTATCATATACGTACTATCATAGCCCAGTGCCCAGTGCATTATAAGAGGAAATGGTAATTGAGAGCAAGACTTAATGCAGATTCAAAAAGAGATTCTGAGTCTGCCCAAATACACATAACAGAAATATGTTCTTGAGGTGACACAATTTTAAAGATGCTGGGGATCCAGGTTCAAGATATTTCAAAAAGGGGAAGATTATATCCCCCAAAAAGGAACTAAGCAGATATCCACACCTACTATCCATATACCATTTTCCTCCTTTCTATTATGAGAAAAGCCCACACATATATGAAGGGTATCCTTGATAAATATATGAAAAGGGAACAGGAAGGTTCTTGTTCTCTATAGCGGATTGTATCTTCCTCGTCACATAGTTGACTGAGTGGAATAGGGAATGTGGTCCTACTGTATTAATGGTTTATGGAATTTTTAAAAAGCATTTGACTTGGTGGAGCCAATTATAGCCTCATGCATATATTAAGATCAACATGGTACAGTGGAGAGAGAACTAACTCTAGAGCACTAACTTCCCTGATTCATATGAATAGTGTGAGGTTGGGTAAGTCCTTTAAATTTCTCAAGCCTCAGTTTCCTCATCTACAAAATTGGGGGGGGGGGTTGGACTCAACAGTCCCTTGCATCTAGCTCTACATCAGTATCCTTGTGTGCTCCTCCATAAAAGATTCCTTGACAGTTACAACACAGTTTCATTATTTTCAACAATTTCAGGATTTTCAGTATCAAGCAAGGCACAAAGCAGGGAACCAAATGCTCAATGCTGGTATTCACCAGTGTCATGGAGGATAACCCACACAAACTACAAGCAGAAAAGCCATTTCCTAGACTTGGTGAGATGTTCCTGTTTCAGGTGAGATGGGGCTGATTGGAATACAACAGGACCACTTCAATAAGTTCTGAGGCCATTCACAAAAGACATCATTCTAGCAATCCACACAGGAAAAATAAGTGGATGAATCATGAATATTTCCCAAATCATAACATGCAGTTGAATAGAAAGTCCCCTGGCACATATCTCATCCATGGCATTTCAGATGAATAAACTAGTTCTAGATTTGAATAGAAGAAGAGTAAGAAATGGTTATGGAGCACTTTCAATTATCACATGGTACTCTCCAACACAAAAGCCTACCTTCAGTGCATCATGGAACACCACAACCTCGGATGAATCAAAATTCTAGTCATCCTAAGGGCAATGGTGAGCATGGTAGATTAAGGTGCCTGCAACAATTCAATTTAATAAACACTTATTAAATACCTAATATGTGCCATGCATTGTGCTAAATTCTGGGGATATAAAACAATAATGACTTGCAAGCAAAATGTAACATAAAGAACTTCATCAAAAAAGGGCATCCTGGAAGGAGCACTAGATTCAGAATAAGAGGCCAAGGGTTAAAATCCCATCGTGTCCTATGATATGGGCCTTGGGTAAATTATTCACCCACTTTGGGCTCTCTTACTCATTCATAAAAGAAGACAATTGAATTAGATCAACTCTGAGGATCCTTCCAACTCCAAATCTATTATCCCAAGAGGGAGCTTATAACATGATGAACATTGTTGCATTTGTAGCTATGAAATATTAAAAGACTTAAAAGCAGGTCTCCTGCACACTGACCAGATCCTTTGTGAACAATTTTGTAGGGCATGGACAAATGATACAAAGGATGAGAAAATATGGATAGGCTGCAATTTGCATCAGGGAATGCAGGGAATACCCACACTGAGGAGATCTTGGATCCATGAAAGTATAAGGGTAGTCAATGATCTCAAATACAGATTGAATAAATATAAAATGAAGTAAAAAACAAAAGCTAAAAAATAGTGGGGATTGGGGAAAAATGAGACTAGGAGCCGCAAGCAACTAACTGTGATCGTGGGGAAAACACTTGACTGCCTCATGCCTCAGTTTCCTTCTTTGCAAACTGAAGAGATTAGCCTAAATATTCCTTTTTATTTTTTTTCCCACCTAGAAACCACTACATTCTATGGTCTTCAGGTATAAATGATAAGCAGGGCCAGGGGAGTAGTGGATTTTCTGCCTTCCCGACACTCTCTCCATCTGAGCTCAGATTCTAACGTCTCCAGACCACATCCCTGGCTTTCATTTCACAGGAGAACATGAGACCTCAAGCAAAGTTGGCTTTAACCAGCTCTACTCACAGACACCCCCGGGGAGACGGGACAGCTTCACCATCAAGGGCTCCTTCTCCTCTGAAGTCCCCTTCCTTGCTCCAGCCCCTCTCCACTTTACTCCCCCCTACCCCACTTCCTCATTCTGGGAAAGCCCCCAAAGGGAGAGATAAGTCTGCACTGCGTCACTACCCAGCACACGCCACCAGAGGTCGCCCCGCAACACATCCCTAAGCAAACATCCCAGCTTCTCTTTCCAAGCTGAGCGGTGTGACATTATTTTCTTTCTCTATTTTTATCTATTAAAAAGATTTCTCTACAGCCATAACTTAGATCCCCCACACTAAAATGGAGCAACAGGAAGATATAATGGTGCATTTCATTTATGAATGACCTATAATAAATTACTCTGAAGTGTCCTGAGTGCCAAGAGACGGAACGCTTTGTCTGCTGGTGCCCCGTATTTCACATACTTTAATTTAGCTGACACATAAAACCCATCTGACATTTCCAAGGCATTTGGGGGGGGGGGTTGGACGAGGGGTAGACAGTGGTGCAAAGGATATTTGGTTCTTGTTGAGCGTTAAGGTATGGAGCCTGGGTAACCCTGGCAACGCAAGGTCGTTTCCAAGAAGGTTGTTGTCCAATATCAGCTCCTCCAGCCCCGTGAATGCGCTCAGTCCTTCCAGTGACCTGCAGTGACAAAGGCACAAGGAAAAATGATCCGCCACTAAATCAGAGAGGCTATTATGAGCCGAAATAAATATTTTAACCTTCCCTTTCAGGACTGGGAATAGTTTGGGCTTGGTGCCTGTCAGGCGAGTGAATGACAAGAATTAGTAGAGGGAGTGGGGGAGCAGGGGGGGGCCCCCTCTGGCACCTCACCACATCCTTCACGCATTGCCAGCATGAAGGATGAGGGTCACTTAGTGAGTAGCCAGAATCCCAAACAAAGGCCTTCAGATACGGCCTGCAGGATAAATTTGTCAATGTCTTGTGCCTTCAGGCACCCAGCCTCGCCTGACCCTAACCTCCATTCCCAAGATAAATAACTCTGTCACAGTTCACCTTCATTCCCTGGACACAAATTTAAGTTGTCATCCATCATTCCTGCCCAGAAATATCATACCCCTCTAACAATAATAAATACAACTTCAGCTATCACTGCAGAGCAGTTCCCCTCTGTACAATCATAGGAAATGGTAGGGAGGGCTCCCCTTAGCCTTCTTTTCGCTCCCCACCCCATTCCATCCTGCCCCCCTTTTGCCTCTCCTTCTGTTGTGTTTTTGTTTTAATCATCACTTCATTTGCTCTGGCCCAGTGTCTCGATTTAGACGCCAAGCCCCTGCAGGATTGCAGAATCACTCCAGCCTGAGATGTTGGGGGAAGGAATGGGAAGTGGGGGGATATTGAGGAAGGGAGGTAGGGGTGAAACTCTTTAAAGTCAAGGGGCCTTTCCTGGTGTCAGCTGGAGTTTCAATTAACAGAAAGCAGATCTCTCTTTCTCTCTCTCAAAAAAAAGTTTAGAACCCCAAAATGTGACTCTTGAAGTTGTTAATAAACACAGATCTGTGGGAATTAATCAGCCAACTTAAAAAACCAAGTCAGAAAAGGAATAAGCTCTTACTCTACAGTTGAAAGTTAACTCTTAATTTCACTGAGTTAGATGGGGTGGGGGGAACTTGGGGGGAGGGCGCTGCTGCATACACACACACACACACACACACACACACACACACACACACATTAATCAAAGAAGGCTGCCTGGTACAGGGACCTTACACACAGACCCATATTCACAGCTCATTCACCTACCAGACTCCTAGAGATATGCTGAGATTGCACAGCCTGACAGCTGATGCACTATGCCGACCAGAGGGAAGATTATCATTGTATCTCCTGGCTGTTTTATAAAATGTGATGAATAAGGCAGATGAGGTCTGTACTATTTAGTCGTTTTCTGAGGCCGCTTATACTAAGGAGGTTTTCCCGTATGAATACACACGTACCTTTTTGCATAGAGGATTTTCTCAGTAACGAATGAGGACCCTGGGCTGGAAACACGACCAAAATCCAAAATCTGAGATTTCAAACAAGTCCTCAGGTAGTAATTAATACCCACAAAGTCCCCAGGGTTTACAGCTTCCACGCTGCCATGCAAATATGGCCCCCAAACTAATGGCTGTTCATGTGGAAAGAGAGCAGACTTCAGAGTTAAAAGACCCTGGTTCAAATCCTGGCTCTATTGGCCTCAGTTTCCTCATCTGTAAGTTGACCCACTTTCCTCACCTGTAAAATGACAGGCTTGACCAATAACTAAGGCCGTTTTATTTCTTATGGGGCCTTTTGGGTTTCACTTTCTTCATCTGCAGAAGGAGAAGGTGAGACTATATAAGGTCAAAGCTCCTTTCTAATTCTCAATATATGATGGTAGGATAGCCTTATTCAGAGAGTCAATCCCTGTACCATTGACTTCCAGGTTCCCCGCAATCAAAGCTTGTATTGCTTCTTGTCTGGAAAGGAAAATCAAAACTTGTGAAATGCTACCCAAGGGAGGTTTCAGATCTTTGCAAAGCCCTCTACTCTTGTTCTCCCAACACAGGGACCCAAAGGGAAAGGCCTAGCCTATTCATCAGAACGGGCTAGGCCGAACCGGGCTGGGCCAACCTCGCCCAGTGAGCCCAGCTCCAGAGTCCCCTTGGGTCCTGCTGGCTCTCTCCATCAGTGGTTAATCAGAGATAATCTCCGACGCTCACTTTTCAGCATTAGGCCTCTGCCGGCCAAGGGCAGTTCAGGCCACCTCCCTGTCAGCACCACTGAGCCTTATGGGACGCTAATAAGTCCTTTGTGCAGAAACATCAGTCGGGCTCTGGTCAATGTCAGCGGCAAAATACACATTGTCCGTGAGTTATGTTATGCAAATATAATACTCTTATCATGAGAATCGGCAACTGGCAAGGAGATGAAAGCTGGACCCCGAAGTAGCGCAGGGGAGCATAAAACAAGATGACAGAGCATGCAGAGGGACAAAGCCCCAGGAACACTAGAGGGAGTTGCCTGGTGAAACAGCCATTCTTTCCCCAGAGCCCCAGCAGGAGAAGCACAATAGTGGTGAGGGCTTTCCTAGAGGGGTTTGGAAAATTGGACTCAAATCCCTTTACACCTGTCTGGTTCGGAGCTTTTTTGCCATGTAATGTTATTAGCTGCTCAGTTAAAAGGGAGCTGTGTTACACGGGGGGTTGCTTATTAATTGTTGTTTTCATGTCATCAGCGCAGTTCGAGCTTAGTGATTTAATCAGCTAAATTCTGAGCCTGGGGACTGGGGGCAGGGGAGGCAGGCAGGGGAAAGGGGGGTGAGTGAGTGGGGGGCAGAGAGGGGAAGACAAGATTGTTGCAGCTTGGATGGTGCAGAGAGAGACAATTATCAAATTTAAGCCTGTGGGTCCTGGGAGGGAAAGGGGAAGGAGGATGCCTTGGAGGTCCCCTTGTCTGTATTTGGTTAATATACCCTCATGCAATATTTGGGTATGGCAATGGATGTTATTGAATGAAAGTGTAGGGAAGAAAATGCATCAAGGTTACACTATATGCACACACATAGGTATATATGTAGTAATACATAAGTGTGTATGTAGGTATGTATGTAGCACTATATACATATGTATGTATGTGTGTATGTAGCATTGTATACATATGTACATATGTGTGTATGTATATATAATTTCTCTGAAGGTAGCTAAGGGACAGAAAATAAAGAAACACCCCCCAAAAAATTTCTCAGCTGTTACTCAGTGTTCTTAACGTTAAAATGCACACCAGATACACCCATTGATGATATTTAAGAACTCGCTTGCCAGTTTAAGAGAAAATTGATGTTTTTTGACTCTTGCTTGGTCTAAAGTGAGAAAGAAATACATGGGATGGATGATGGGGAGTTGGGAGGCACCTCTCTGTCTGTCACTTTCCTGGAATGGACCTAACCCTCTAGCTGGGATGGGGGCTCTAGCTCATCACTAGGGCAGCCTGGGTCCGGCCAGCCATAGCAAGGGCCTCCCACACTCAAGAAATCAAAGCCTGACCGTTGGTTTGCTGATTGTAATGGAAGGGCCCAGCGTCAGGCAGGTAGAGCCACTCTGGAAATCTAATAAACACCGCTGAAGTACATTGGCAGGTTGCTTTCTTCCTCGCTCTAATGATACAAAAGCTGCCCATTATCTCACCCACAGGTACCATCTCGGTTACCTCGTCACAGGGCTCCAGCTTGGCTCCCACGGGAGCCCCAACTGCTGCCAGAAGACTTCGACTGTGATTTCCAAAGTCACATCAGAATGACAAAAACATCACAAGGCATTCGGCTCCAGCTGATTCAAACAGAGGGAACTTTTAAGTTTCCACTGTAATTAACCCTATCCTCGTTAAGATAATTATGATCAAGCTCCCTGTCACAGCTAATATCACAGCATCATTGCCTGTGGCTCACACTTTGCCCTCATTAGCTTACAAAAACAGCGACACTAAACAGACAACAGACTTCTTCGCAGAGAGGAGGCGAGCCAGCCACGGAGCAGGCATCAGGGACCATTTCCAATGCAAGGAGTAGAGAGAGATGACTGTTTCTTGTCCACCTCTAGGCCCCTCCACTCAGCAGCTGGGCTAACTTGGAACTCCTCCTAAATTTCAACTCCACAAGAATGAAGAGTGTGTGGGAACCTAGAGGAATGGAGACTGGCAGGCACCATCTTTTGCAAGGGTTTAAAGGAAGGTGATGAGCAGCTGACACCAGGCTTGTCTTATGGCCTCCTTCCATGCCCGGACCCCTCTCCAAGTCTACTTTAACTGGAAACACTGAGCTTTGGAGAAACAGACCAGTCAGAGCGGGATGCCTGGGAACGGGGTTGGGGGGGGAGAAAGCAGCCGAAACTCTACCACCTCATGGTTCCCTGGTTCTGAAACAACAAATTCATCTCCTAAAAAGTCTTTTCTGGGAAGAATTTGACCTCTTACCCAGAGTCAGCCAACAAAAACTGGCGCCATTCCTGTTTGTTTGCCATACGCGGGGAGAAGGCAAGAAGAAGGGCCAGCTAGGGGCTACATGCCAGGGAGACAGGCTTCAGGGGTCTCCTGAACCTAACTTGTGCACAGACACCCAGAGCAACAAATTAAAGGGAGATGAGGTCATCGTGCTGCTGCAAATAAGAACAAACACACAGCAAAACAAAACAGAAACAAGCCATGTTTTTTTTTTTAACTAAATAAAAATCTTGAGAAAATCAGGGGGCTATAGAAACGTTAAGGGAAGGAGCCCATGCTGCTCTCTCTCCTCTCTGAACTCTTCTTGGACTACAAAGCTCAGCCCTCCATCATTCCCTCATGTTCCACAGGAGTTAGTTCTCTTTCTCCAGCTAGACTGCAAAGATAACACCATGTTATATTTATTTAGATGGCACATTGGATAAAACACCCGGCTGAGATCAGGAAGATTTGAGTTCAAATCAGTCACTTACTAGCTGTGTGACCCTAGGCGAGTCACTAAACCTCTGTTTGTTTCAGTTTCCTCATCTGTAAAATGGGGATAACAATAGTCTCTATGTCCCAGGTTGTGGTGAGGATAAAATAAAATAATCACTGTTGATCCAAGACAGTTCCAAAGAACTCAAGATGAAACATGCTATCTACCTCCAGAGAGAGAATTG